CCTCTGTCAACAGCCCTGGCTTATCTGCCGCCGCCGTGGCTGTTTGCCTTCGGGGAGGCCCCGGCGGCCTGGGGGTGGGGAAGGCCTGGGAAACGTAGCCTCAGAGCAACAAAGGCCCCTCAGCGACCATCTGCTGCAGCTCCTGAAGGAGGCGAGCCAGCGGGGCAGCCGAGGACGCCCAGGGTACGGCTGCGGACGTCCCCGGATTGGTGACGCTAGCCGGGCTGCCACCACTGCACTCGGTCGTGGGCAGCGGAGAAGTCCTGAACGCCTCCCCCAGACACTCGGTTTCCCCAGCACTATGGAAGCCGGGGGCTGCCCGCGCCCTTGGCACCCACACCCATCGCACCCTTTTTCCTGCGCCCGCTGTCAGCTGTCAGATGCGCGTAGCCACCCCAGCGCTACAGCTCAAGTTTTTCCGGGCGAGGTGAGAAGGGAGGGGTCCTCTCACTGACCCACATTCCACCGTCTGGGGAACCCCTTGGCAGCGCTTGCCTCCTGACTTAGGCCACGGTTGCCTTAGGAACCATCACAGGTCAGAGGGTGCCTCCACCCACAGAGGGAGGAGACAGGACGGGGCAGGTTCCTAACGGAGCCCCCACCTCTTACACCTGGCAGAGGCGGGTGGGGGGCAGGGTCCTGCTCCGTGGGGCTTGCCCCACTCCCTACTCTTGTCATTAATAAACCCCGCCGCCTTCTGGGTAATGTACGTATCGAGGGTAACTGAGTCTTGGAACCACTAAAAGCCGTTAGCGTGTCTGCCCGCCTCGTCCAATCCGAGCGAGCGGCGGAGCCCGAGTTCAGCGCTCCAGAGCCGTCCCCGCAGCGCCCGGGCAACCCCGGCGCGCGTCGGCGGCTCTCACGGCCCAATCGCCTGATCCGGCATTCCGGGCAGGCCGGGAGGCCCTGGAGTCACTGTGGCTCTCCCTCCGCTCCAGGGACACTTGCGTAACGGGAATGGATCTAGAGCAACTCTTCCATCCTGGTTACCGGGAGCTGAAGTATTCGGCTTTGGATCAAGCGAAAGGGAGCAAAGAGACTGTCCTGGGCATTGCACCCCTCGAAGGGGCGGGCGCTGCACCCCAGTGCTGGGTTGTCCCAGGGTCAAAGTCAGCTATAGAACCCCTAGGCTGATCCTAACCCTTGCGGCCTCAGTTTACCTCCTCCCGGGCAATGCTTAGAAGCAATGCATGGGGGGCCGGGGTGCGCACGGGGTGGGGCTGCGTTCCACTCCCTGCCGGGCTCCCCCAGCCCTGCTCCTCTCACTTCCTGCGTCCACGCCTCGTGCAAGCGCCCGGAGCAGACGGCGCCGGCTCCCCAGCAGAGCCTGGAACGCCGCTCCACTCCCACTCAGGAGAGGGAAACCCTGGCAACGGCGGGGGTGGGACCGCGGCGCCCGAGGGGGGCAGGAGAGAAGGAGCCGCTCCGACCCTCCCAGCCCCAACCTGTGGCAGCCACCGAGAAACGTCCACCCCAGCCCCTCTGGGTCCCGGCCAGCAGCGCGCCTCTGGTCCTTAGACGCCCCAGGACCCGGGGCAGGACCTGCCTGCGGAGTTGGCATGAAAGCCTGGTGCCTCCCTCCGACCCCGACTCTCCTTCTGGAATCTAGACAAGGGGGGGACAGGACCCTGCCGAGTCCGCCACCCCAGCTCTCCAAGAGGTGCCCCGAGCGCAGCCCCCACACTCCCGCACAGCCCCGCCTGCGCGGCCCGTACCTGCCCCGAGTCCTCGCTCGCTTCCAGCTGCACGTTGCCGCGGCTCCGGCTCTCGCTGTCGCTCAACAGATCGTCCTCGGAGTCCTCGAGCAGCGAGGAGCCGGTGGAGGAGAGCGACGAGGTGGAGAGGCGGCGCGGCTG